GCGTCTAACCTAATTATCATCTTCCAAATTTGCTTCTAAAAGCAAAAGAAAAGCTCACAATTGATAATGATCGAGATTCACTCAATCTTTATCCATTAAAGTAAGCTTTGAATTAAAAAGCCCATAACTTATCCATTTGGAATCTCTTCAGCATGCAATGATTAAAAGGGTGTGATTTTCGTAGAACGAGGACAGCGGATTTACAAAATTTGGTGAAGCTACAAAAAAAAAAAAAAAGATAGTTTTGAGCCAAAAATCTTTTTCTTTTTAGATAAGGAAAGGTTAATGCCTTAGGTAAGAGCCTCACTTTAAAACAAGTCGAAAATTGCAGTTCAGAAACAAAAAGCATTCGAATTGATAATTTCAACATCAACCATTATGGTCTTGAGAAAAAATCCAAATTCCAAGCCTTAAAAATAGTGTACAACACATTATTATGATTGTCCATTTTTAATTATGGGTATGGTTTCTATGCAACCTTAAACAATCCAATTAAAGCGCACTTCTAAGTTTTATCATAACATGTAATTTGGGTGTAACTAAAAATCTATTTTCATATCTAATTATAAAATTTTAAACTTCAAAGTGGTTAAAATCAAATAGATCTATAAACATATGAAAATCTTAAAAATGGACGATCTAGATAATGTGTTGCAAGATGCACTATTTTTGGGACTCAAACTCTCTTTCTTTTTTTTTTTTTCCATATTCATACATCTCGATGTCGAGATGAACAATTAAAGGGTTTTTCAATATTAAAACATCCTTTTCCGATAGATTTTAGAGGCACATCTTTAATTCTACAGTTGCAACCTTATACAAACTTTTTCCTTCAAGTATGGGAAAAATTTATATAGAGCCAGGGCTCCAAACAATCAAATTTGAGCCTTCCTCAAAATTTTCACCAAAAGAAGTTCTTTTGATGCTCAAATATCTTCAAACATCCAAACATCAAGAAATATGGACATCAGAAAAAAATGAATTTAAAGTTTCGAAAATAGTATATTTTGTAACACATTTTTAGACTGTCAATTTTCAAGATTTTCAAGTTTTCATAGATCTATCAATCTACACTATTTTTGAAGATTTAAACTTTATAAATAAATATAAAAATATATTTTAAAGCTATCACAAAGATTTCCAATATTAAAACCATATTTTTTGACACTAAGATAGCTCTAATTTGATTGTTTAGAGCCTAGGCTAAATACAAACCGCACCTTTTAGGTATTCCCATCTGGAAGATCTATAATATTTTTTGAATTACAAATTTAATTATAAGTGGTAAAATAGAGTTTCGAGCCATCATAGGAGTTTCTACGCCCAAAGTATATTTTCTAGATGAGGGTTTGAGATGAAGGTTACGTTTTTTTCATAAGCCCCGGGCCTTATAGAAAACGCATCCTTATGATAATTATAAAACTTCTGGTAGCCTCAAAAAGTATATTTTCATCCTTATGGAATTTATAGCTCCAAAATTAATGTAAATCCAACATCTGAACACTTGAAATGAATAGTTTAAAAAACGAGCAACGATCCAATGCAACGGTGGTATCATAATATAATGCAACGACACTTCTAGAAAACCATGTTTGTGATATTTGTATGACCTCAAATTTTGTACACACACTCTCTGCCCCCCCCCCCCTCCCCCTAAAAAAAAAGTTCAATTTCAACCGCCAGATATGTTTAAAATGAATCCCCTCCAAAAACGAAGCCCCCCCCCCCTCCCCCTAAAAAAAAAGTTCAATTTCAACCGCCAGATATGTTTAAAATGAATCCCCTCCAAAAACGAATCTAGACCATTCATTTTGTGAATTTCAAAATCTTAGCCTTCATAAACTCAAAATCATTTTTTTCTTTTTTAAAATTGTTCATCTAATGATAATAAAACCATCCAAAAAAATTGGAAATGAAAAAATCCTTCTAAGACCTAGATGTAAGCATGTCAACAAAATGAACGGCCTATGTTAATTAGGCTAAAAAAAATTCTTTCTAAATTATGTTTTTAATTTTTTCTTTTTTTGTGATTGTTCATTAGAATGAAAAGAGTGTATATTTCAAATTTTGGATCAAACGACTGGCCATAAGATGGTTTTTTAAAGTTGTTGCATCTATACAACGGTTGCATGAAATCGAGATGGTTTTTTAAGGTTGTTGCGTCCATACAACAGTTGCATGAAATCATTGCCCTTAAAAAACATATTACAAGACATCACTTTTAGAGCTTGACAATCTCATGTCCATAATAATTTTTTCTTCGAGAGATATCATGTCCATACTAATCAAGGTCAATATGATTGATATGCAGGTTTGATGGCACCATGACTGCATTTTCTGTTGAGATTTGAGTTGCGGCATTATAAAGCCTATAAAAGAATTTTGGGTGCGGTTTGTATAAAGTTACAACCTTAAATAATCCAATTAAAGCGCACCTCCAAATTTTATCATAACATGTAATTTTGATATAAAAATTATTAGGATTGTCTAAAAATCTATTTTCATCTCTACTTTTTAAATTTTAAACTCAAAAAATAGTTAGAATAAAGTAGACCTATAAACATATGAAAATCTTAAAAATGGAAGGTCTAGATAATGCGTTTCAAGATGCACTACTTTTCTGATTTAAAATATATATTTTTTATATTCATACATCTCGAAACAATCAATTAGGGAGTTTTCTAACATTAAAACAATCTTCTGATGGATTTTTTAGATGCACCTTTAATTCTATATTTTAAGATTGCTAACCTTATATAATAAAAAAATTTCATATGATGCAAATCATAAAAGGAGTACTTGAAATGGTAATTGCTTGCTTGCATACAATGTTAATTATTTATTCCTTGGTTTTTTTATTAAAGGCATTTCTTCCTTGAGCGAGAGAGAGAGAGTACGGCTGTCAACAGGCCAGCACGCTGCATCCACGCTGGGGCGACTGGTACCCTACTTATAAGGCTGCCAACAAGATGGGTCGAGACCGAGTCCATCATAGAAAACTGAGGGCCAGCATGGGCCGATTGGCAGCCCTACATTGATAGGACTGCCAAAGGCCAGGTTCAGGCCCAGCCAAGCTTCACCTGAGCCTGGCACGAGCATTTGTAGCCAGCCTACAACACCAGGCAAGCAGGGACCACAAGGCCGGCCAAGCAAGGCTCAAAACCCAGGCCAGGCTTGGAAGCACGGTGGTCCAATTGGTAGCCCTAGAGAGAGATGTCTGACTGTGATCACAAACAAACCACCGATGCTTTATTGCATGAGATAATTTCTACCATGGCAAAGCTTGACCAGTGAGTATATTGCCGATGATGAACAAATAACAAGGTGACTGTTAAGTCCTTTTTCCTCCTATTTTCCTGAAGTTTCTCTTCTTTAAAAAATCAGTCATTTGTAATCCAAATCTATATCTCTTACTGAAAACAATCTAGATATAGAAAATAGCTTGTCTAGAAAACAAAAAAAATAAAATAAAGACATTGAATAGGCTCCAAGATTATCAAAATAAACATAGGAACTCCCACTAAAACTATTAAAAAGGACCATAACCGGGTGTTACTCCCATGTACACAGGGTCCTGGGAGGGGTGAGATGGAAAACGGTCCTAACCTTTGGTTTTTTATGTACAAAGTAGCCGCTATCAGGACTCAAACCCGCACTTTTGCACACTCGAGCCTTTTACCATCACATGAAGTCCCGCTAAAACTATTCTCAACAAAATAGGTACCTATGTCATAAGAAAATAAATGCTACAAGAACAAAAAAAACACTATAAGATTCCCTCTAAATGTTTCAAAGACAAATTAAAACTGTTAAAAATAGTATGCTAATTACTTCATATCTATTTTCTTCTAAATTTTCAAAGCATTGTGCAACACACGTGCCGTTAGTTAGTTAACAACGACCAATGTAAATTTCCACAAATTTCTAGAAACAAGACAGAAGGTGTGAAAGTGGCATTTGGTTCATTACCTGCTTCTCTACCAACTTCTCAACAAGCAGACAATTTTGAGAACCATTTTCAAGTGTAAAATCACTGTCTTGCAAACCTTGGAAGAACTTCTTAAAACTTTTGGCAAGGAAGGCAGTTCCACTTCATCTAGAAAGGAAACTATTGGAATGGGGTTGAGCTCAAGGTGGTAGCACCACCTTGTGACTCAGCTACCAGTTTTGGATTCTACTCCTACCAATGTATTACCCTTTTGAAAACTATTAATAATTTCAAAATTGCCAACCCACTACTAACAAACAGCTAATGTTCAAAAGAAAAAAAGATAATGACTTTGGAAGAACTTAGTGCTTTTTGGCCACTAAGGACTCCTTCATCTAGAAAGCAAACGAAGAGAAAAAGAGAAGTCATATATGGCTTTGTTAGAATTTTGTTATTCAGTATTTCACAAGAAGTCAAAGGCAAACATCTCTATTTCAACATCAACACTTTTGAAGAGGACACTTAAGTGAAATATGGTCAATGAAAATTAACATAGTCAACAAAAGTTTTACATCAAGGCTTACAGGCCAATTAATAATAGTGGTAAAACTGGGCAAGCACCATTTGACAGCAGCTCAGCAGATATGTCCATTCACCAAAATCAACGAGAAACCGCTTTATCATAACTGTTTTCTACAAATCTAGTTCTCATGACCTCGTTTATTAAAGTTTCTTGCCATCTTGCTTTACCACATATATTAGTAATGGGAGGTAGGAATGTAAAAGGCGCTCTAGGTTGTGTCACACCCAACTAAATAGGAAAATACAAATGGGGGACCAGGACCTGGACCCAGACCCTGGAGGGTTCAAACCTAGCTAACCATGTCCGTGTCCATGCCCGTGACCTACCCGGGGCAGGGCACAGGAAATCTGGACTGGAACCCAGGTTGGGATTTATTATATTATAATAATATCAATAATATTGTAATTATATTATATTGATATTATACAATATATCATATGATACTTATAGTTATTAATACAATAATAATGTTATATGATGTATAATATATTACTATGTTATTATATCGAAGCTGGGTCAACCTAGCTGGACTTGATCTTAACCAACATGCTTAGTCTAGAAGACAGGCCAGACTCAGATCTCTGCTGATAAGCACCCTAATGGGAGGTATTGTCCTAAATAAAAGCATAGTGCGGTGTCCTTTACTTATATCACGAAAATTGACCACTTAAAAAGCTATATTTTCCCTTCTTGTAACGAAAAGCAATTGAATCAGCTTAAAAAACTAAATTGTCTTGGGAAATCTGATGTGGCTAAGCATAACAATCTACAAAAAAACCTTTTCAAAACATTTGCCTCTTTGACCTTAATAGAAGAAATCAATACACAAAGGAGACATGAAACCATTATGAGAAGAAAAGGGGCATTAACATCATTTTTGTAGAAACTTGGATTGTTCCTCTATACATCATCATTAAGTTTGACTCTATTGCATGTTTTAAATTTCTGTCTCATAAATCAAGAGTACTTCATTGCCCTAAAACTGTAAGTTCTAACCAGTGGTTCAAAACCAATATCTGTGCGGTGAATCATTCACCCACAGATCCATGTCAGATCGCTGAATCGGCGATCCAGAACGAGTCTAGATCAGTTCAAATCGGTGATCCAAAAAATATCAAAAAATAAATTAAAATAGAATAAAAATTAAAATAACAATTTATGGGGTGGAGATTTAGAGGGGACCTAAGAAAACATTAGATAAGCTTAAAAATGAAAAATAAAAAAATATATCAAGGTGGTTTTAGGGGGAACAAGGCCTTGGACCCATACCATCCTAGAACTGGTTCGGTCCCAACCGATTCCCTTTCGGATCGAAATTGCCGGATTTTAAAACATTGGTTCTAACGAAGCCAAACTAACACTAATTAAAGGAATGGCCAAATTTTTTCACTAGAACTATTCAGGATGACTAATAATAATAACTAGTAAATACTAGGAGCATCACAATCAGAAAAGAATTCATGCTCCACTAGTCCATTGCTACCATGTAACCAATGAAAGAGTTGCAATCATCAAGCATGATGCCAAGGATGAGTATAATTCATCCCCTCTTCTCCCCTGTACTTAGTTGTTCTCTCCATGAAAAAGAGGAAAAAGATATTGCATCGTGAGAGTGATAATTCATGATGTAACTAACAACAAATTGTACTTCATTTTTTATTTTATGTTAAGTTTTAGAAAATGAAAATAGAGACAAGGTTAATAAAGTTCAACCATACAGGAAAATATTCCAACCTAAACTCACTGATAGTTGTTCTTGTTCTTAGGTGGGATATTTGTGAATCAAAGAACAAAAATTCTATGGAGAGTTAGAACTACAAAGAAGATAATGAAACGATATCATCAGCATATCATCATCATCATCATCAATGTCATCGTCATCATCCGATCCATATCCCAAACATTTGGCGTCAACTACAAATCATGTTCCACCATTCCACTCTATCCAGGGCCACACCCTCAATCAAACCATAAGTCACTATATTTCTTCTCACTACTTTCATCCATGTCCTTTTTGGGCCTACACCTTGTCCTTTTAGAGCGTTTTACTTTAACCAAATCACCCCACCTAACCAAGACAATTAAACCACATAATAAGTTTACATGGAGGCATAATGAACAAACAACTGTTTGCTTTTTATAGTCATATCAAAACGCAACTCAAAGAACAACATCACACAAACACAGAGTACATCATACTCGGGTTACCTAACAACAACCTACTTCTATCTAATAATGTAATAAAGGGCATTAGAAATATTACCACCTAAGCAAATGTCTCATAGTTACAAAAACTGATAAGATTTGACCATTAGCAATCATTTATGGGCGAGAAAGTTCAACTTCTTCTCAATGAATTTCCCAACTCCAAATTCCAAAATTCCGATAGTATGGTTGTATCTTCCTTTAAGATTAAGGGATCCTGGTTTGTGTTGGTTGGAAAGTCTATCATCCTCTTGTCCTCCTCTTCCAATCTAAATCCCCAATATCCAATGGTTTCCCATAATTCTGTTTCCTCTCTTTACTCTCTTAGATGTATTATCCTGTCCTCTCCATAGAATCAGATACATTTTCTCCAGCTGCCTCACATTTCCTCTTTGCTCAAAATAGAATGATTATTCAAAGATATCGACTCCCATTTTGCCCCTTCCATGATTGCGCCATGACGATTCTCTCAATTTCAGGATCCTCTCTAAAAGTTTCTTCTTCCGATCTCCCATGAGGACACTGCTGTTGCCAATATGGGCCTTTGAATTGGATTTTGGTTTCTCCAAACAATGGGCAATCACAAGAATATTAGTAAATTGACTAAATTCTTCTCTGACACTAGGAAAGGTCATGGCGCTGGAAAATAGGGTGGCCAAACCGCACACTCTTCTTGCAAGGATAAGGGCCTTTTTGGAATTAGAACTTCTGAGGACGACCAAAACAAGGAGCTTTAAAAAGATACACATGCATCCTCACCATCTGGTGAGAGGCCAAGGCCACTTGCTATGAGGAATATCTGGAATTGTTTTGATTTGAAATCTACGGGGTCATACTCAAATTCATTCTACCACATGACATGGGCTTAAGGTGCTGACAATTGTAACACTATGGCCCAAGTTTGAATCCTATAGCTGAACTACACAAACAAAAAATGTGGACGACATGGTTTAAACCAGTGTTTTGAAAGCCGGATCGGCCAGGTGAACTAGCCATCCTTGACACCAGTCTGTAATGTGTTAAAACCCGGCCATTTTCAATCCAGATGGGAATCGATAGGGACTAAACCGGTTCTAGGATGGTATGGGTCCTACTCACTTCCCACCTAAAACCCCCTTTATATATCTTTTTATTTATTTTTTTTTAAGCTTATCTAATATTTTCTTAGGTTCCATCTAAATCCCCACCCCATAAAACCCTATTTTAATTTTTAATTTATTTCATTTATTTCTTAGGGTGCGTTTGATAACAATGAAGACCTGGGAAAGTATCCGACTTTCCCCTATAATATAGCTTTCCCTAGTTTGGAAACAGTAAAAATGGGGAAAGTCAGAACTCACTTTTCCCCCATTTTATTGTTCCCTTTAGTAAAGGTGCAGTGCATGGGGACCCCTGCGTTGCAATTTTCTAGGAAAGCTCACGAGGGGTTATAAGACCTAACGCTCGCTACATCAGGTGCCAAAAATTTACAGCAGAACTCCTCTCTTATGCGACTCTAGCTCAAACCCCTCCTATCTCTCTCTCTCTACTCATAACACTTATCAGACTAACTAGCATTAACCTCTCTCATCTCTCATCCCATCACTTTTCCTAACCAAAGCCAAGCCCTGCGCCTTCACTACTAACCAAACTCTCACCTTCTCTATCTCAAACCTCTCTCATTTCTCTGTCTCTCGCTCTAAACTACCACATAACCATCTCTCAAAAACCAACGCCCCAAACTCTCTCTTCCTTGTTTATTTGAGCTCTACAAGCTGTAGGAGAGGATTTGAGGAAGTTACCTTCAACTCTAGACCAGGTATACTCTTCTCTCCATGCCTCCCACTTTCTCCCTCTGTATCTCATACTCATATGGTAGAGCCCATTTTATGTGTCAGCTAAATTCAAAGAGGCTTTAGTCTCCTCACCTGATTTATATGGATTCGTTAAGTGATTTTTAAGTGTTTTTCTTTTTCCAATAATCATTTTTAGTTTTTTGTGTTTTGGCTCCTCATCTTATTTAATGTCTAAATCCAACATTGTATGGCATAATGTGATTATTGATTGTTTATTAAACAGTGTCATGTCCTATTTCAAAGCTAAGAGATTTATATTCATTTTCATCATTATAATGGGGATTTGAAGCTTTTGGATACAAGTAAGCATCAATTCAAAAAGTGGTCTGCCCAGCGCCTAGGTGGGCTAGGCAGGCTTGGCCACACCACCCAGGCCTGCGCGGCCCAACTAGATGGGCTGTCCTTGGGCCTAGTACCTCGCCTAGGCGGGCGATCAAGGGACTGAGCCTGCCTAGGTGCAAAACTACCAATCAGGTGGGGTATTTTTAGTGTTTTATTTTGTTTGAGTAATAAAAAATGCATGAATATGTGTTTTTTATACAAAATCTGGACCTAAAACAAGATTAATGGACATCTCTTGCCCCCTTTTGAACCTAGGTTGCCTAGGTTCTGGGCATTTTTGGAACACTGTCGGTAAGAAAATAATGGAATGTTGTTGAGTTCAAATTTCTGAAATATTTGGTTGTCTTCTACTCTCAAATTACATAGATATAACAACAAATTTCAATCTCAACCGTCTATTATATATAAGAACTGCATTAGATGGGTTGTAGCAAGTAAGTATTATTTAAAGGGATTGTATGCTATGAGACCATTTATTTTTTGTACAAGAAGGTCACAATCCCTTTTAGCCATTGGATTTCAATAGATGAAAGTTGTGTCACAACATTTGAGAAATTTCAATAATGATTGTGACCTCCTTATATCAAAAGCAAACAGTCTCATTGTAAACAAGTCCATATTTAAAATATGCATTTTTGCATATCAAATCAATAAAATACATAATGAACGGTTAAGATAGACAGTTTCCAGCTTTCCAAATACCAAACAAGTGAAAATACAACACTACAGTTTATCAAGCAGGGTTCCCATATTTCAAGCCACCAATTTTCACTTTCCTCCTAGATTCCAAGAAGATCAGCAGCAGTGATTTTTCCAAAGAAACTACTGAGTATGTTTCAAACACACCCTTGATATTTTCTAGATCACCGATTTGGACCAATTTAGACCCAATCAGGATCGCTGATCTAGCGATCCGACACAAATCAGTAGGCAAACGATTCACCCTAATGATTCGGTATTTAAAACATTGCCAGTCCGGATTGGATCTAGTGATCCGACACAAATCAGTGGGCAAACGATCCACCCTAATGATTTAGGATCAACGATCAGACCGATTCACCCAAGGTACAATAAAAAGTAAAAAAAGTTGCGCCCCGCAATCCAGAACTGGACCAATTACCGGTTCGAACTCAGAATTGGTTTGGTTACCACCGTTTCCCAATCCGGATCGAGCAATCCGATCTAGATCGCAGGTTTTCCAAACCTTAGTTTAAACCCAAGATATAAGAAAAAAAGGGATTGACTCCCTAAAAGTAGGAACATAGATCTTCAAATCGAATCCCTATGTGACAAGAAATGGATACAGCTACGGATGACACTACCTTAAATTTAAAATCTGCTACAGTACTTTATAAAATTAAGTATAAGATTAATTAGAAAGTTGCAAACCTGATGTCAATTGTATGGTCCTTTCTAAGATCCAAAAGTAAAGATCTTGCACTCAGGATTTCACCATTAACGGGTATCTATATATCACAAACATTGAGGAAAACTCATTAGAACTGATGAAAAGAGGCTAATTTTTATACCAGCGCAATAAAACCAATAGTTCTTTGTATAGTGACAGGAGGTGGTATTTTACCTTGAAAATGGGGAATATGGGAACACGAGTATTTGCAAGTTACCTCCAGCAAATGGTTCCTGCATCACACAATGAAAATAAGATTCTACATATGCCACCAAAGGGCTAGAGTACTCTTCAATCCTCCATGCATAAGAGACCAAATTCATGTTTTCTGTTGACAAGGGCATACAGTTGTTTTCTTGAAAGTTGAAAATACGAGGAAATTGCATGATACGACAGTTTTTAAAGAACAATATCTCTAGTGTCCAGATTTCTATGCAGGATTCTTACAAGTAAATATGCTCAGTTTTTTCTTCTTTTTTTTTTTAGGTTATTGTTGTAACTAATTTATTTTGACGTTGTGGATAAAAAAACCTAATTTATTTCAGCTATATTTTCATCCTACCTTGTCATCCACTGCTGAGCCCACCATTTCACCAATGGTTGCCTCAGCAACCAAGAGTCAGAGATGGTAGCAAAATCTTCATATCAATTGTTCCCAAGTATTACTGAGCAAAGAGAAGGCTAGGAACATGTCACATTTCATTGCGGAATAAAACATGATGTGCAATCGATATCTTGTAAGGTGATTGAACCCAAGTATAAGTCGCTTATATGTTTCGAACAAAGGGAGAGGTACTTTCGGTCCAAACTTTCATGAATGAACCCCATTCCAGGAACCCACTTCTCTTCGTCAAGGGGGTTAACATTTAAGCGACTTTGCAAAAGGCGAACTCGATAAGCAATGGTGTCCAATCTATCACAGAAATGAGCAGCACAACAACCAGAAGGCTCATCAGAAGCCAGCCTAACCAAAGCCATGGATAAAAGCCCATCTACTGGTTTTGGGTCAGACAGATTTTTATCCCCCATCATTTTTATATCATTTTCGAGGGGGAAAATCAGTTCTTCAATGCCATCCATATTCAAAACCTTTAGATCCTTACTGTAATGGTTAATTGCTTCACGTTTCGTGGATTCATGTTTTTCTGCCAATGTAAGAATACATGAGAACCTCAAATGGTAGTTAACGATGGTTTTTACAGTTTTAAAGTTATGGGAACAACAATAGAATTGAAGCCATCTCCTTCCTATACCAGCATACCACTTTATAATATCGGCATCATCAAGAGGAATAAGTAACTTTATCGGTTTTGGGCGCCCCATAGAATTCGTAAACCCAGCCAATTTCACAGCTTTTCTTATCAACTCAGTAGGAGCATCTACCTTCACGTACAATTCTGTTAAATCTCTTACTGTTCTTTCTGAGTATCTAGCCTCTTCCTCTTCACATTCTCTCTCTTCCTCTATATTATTGTTAATTTTGTACGGGTTCAGATATTTATCGACTTGCTCGTGAAATTGGTCATAAGATTCCACAAGCTCCTGTGGCAACTGATCTCTCACTGATTGAAGAGAGAGAAATTCACCACCAGCAAGTCTACGGTACCAGGTCCAACGCTCATAAGAGGATTTAAAAAATTCTTCTATCACATCATGAGACCAAATTTCAAAAATCTCTCTTATCTGAGGTGCTATATGCGCCTCACAGTTGAAACCACCCATCTTCTTGAACTTCATAAACACATGACTGAAAATTTTCAGACCCAATTTCTTGAGTCTAGTCTCATATGCATTTCTCGCTTCTAAAGCACGAGCTTGGCGCTGCTTTATGTATTTCTTTCGAGCCCTAATTGCTTTCTCAGACATGGGAGGTCTCAAAACAGATGGTGGAACTGCCTGAATTTCCATTCCAATGAATCCAAGTTTCTCTGAGACTGCACTGTGAATTGCAGTCTTTGCTTTATCCACTTTCATCTCCAAAACACCTTCTAAAAATTCCACAACTTGCTTCTTCAAATCCATGGTGAAAATCTTAGTCTCTGAACTAATAACCAATATCTCATCCAAATACCTTAGCGCAAAGACTTTAACAGGCTTATAAAAAACATTAGGGATTCCTTTGGTTTCAATCTCTGGGTTCATATGAGCTATTCTTGTTCGAATTTCCTGAATTTCATTATCAAAACCATTAAAATACACATTAACAAGAATTGAACTAATGCCACTTTCTTGAGGGAATCCTCTACCCATGTAACAACCCCCAAACTCAATAGAAATAACCCCAAGTGCAAACAATCCCTTCAAAATTTCCATAAATGAATCATCTTCCATCTTTTCTTCCATGATAGAAACCAATTTATTGACATTTATTTTGTCTCTCTTAAATGCAACAGAAAACCACCAATTAGGGTCTTTTACATTGTTTTTCAGGTATCTAAGGCAAGTATGTCGACCCATACCAACACGACCACCATAAGCAAAAGTAGAAAACCTATTCTCATAAATCACCTCCAAAACCATCCTTAAAGCCTCAATTACCACCTTTAATTTCAAACTGGGAAGAATCAATTTCTCTCCCTTCTTTCTAAGAGGCAAAATTTCAACACAGTAAGCATCGACATCAAACCTGTGTGCCTTAATTTGTTCAGAAATATCCCTTACCCAAACCCCTACTGAACTAAATAAACAATCCCTTCGATTTTCTCCATTAACCCTTGAATCCAAATTCTCACATGCAGCGAGCAAAACCCTACGGCAAGAAACTACATTCTCTACAAGGTTATGAAATTTTCCATTACTATACTGTTTCAGAACTAGGATTTCAATATCTTTCCTACTCATACTTCGGGTTTCATCATGTACTTCTGATGGCTCTGAAACTAGGGATTCCGCAAATGCAGCATTTGCCTTGCTATAATTACAAGAAAAATATGGTTTCTGATAGGATGTTAGGGCCCTTTGGGAAATGGATTTCAGATAGGGCAAGATATAAGAAGCCCTGATTTCAGAGGAACTGAATCTTTGAAGCTTCAAAATCATTGAACTTTCACAAAGAAACCGTAGTTTCAGAGGAAATGGATCCTTGAAGGTTTGAAATATTTGAACTTTCACAAAGAAACCCTAATTTCAGAGATAACGGATCTCTAAAGCTTCATTATCCTGGAAATTTATAATGAAAATGAAACATAAAATCCAAAAAAATGAGCAAAAATGCGAGAAAATACCTGCAGCGATGCCTTAAGAGAGAGAAAAAAATGGAGAGTTTCAGAGTAACGTGCAAAACCTGGGAGAAGTGTTCGTGAAACACTTAAAGAGTTGTAAATGTCTCCATTTCTTCTGAAAATATCCAATATACCGTTGCATCAGGCGCGGATTTTTGGTAAAGATTTATATGTTCCCTCTACATCATTGAAGTTCAATGTTTTTCCTACCCTCCAACTGTCTATTTTTTATCGAGAAAATCGCTTATCATTTGATCTTATATCCGACATTTCAAAGTATTTTATTTTTTATTTTTTTAATATAAATTTTTTTAATATGAAATTTGATAAGTAAAATCTTCTCATTGAGACACACCTATATAATATGTACAATAATTTTTTGATAAACAAATAACCAAAATGTCCTTTGAAACTTTCAAAGGTATTTTAGTCATTTTATGTTATTAAAAATATTTTTTTTATATTTTTCATTAATGCAAGTTTAATAGAGGAATAGACGTCCAAATTTTTGTATCAAAAAATTTAATAGAAAAAAATTAAAAATAAAATAGTGTAGAGATATGACATTATGATTAGGGCAATCTTAACCCTCCATTCAAAAATGGACGGTTGGATAAGGGGGAACATGGAACTTCTATAACATAGGGAGAACATAAAAAGCTTTCTCTGGATTTTTTTTGTCTCAAATTTGGAAGAATAGAGGAATTTTTACTAGCATCTTTTAGAACCGGAAAAAGTTTAGAGTACACCTCAAAAATTTCACTGCAAGAAGTTGTTTTTATACTCAAATATCATCTCGATGTTAAGATGCATTGGCATAAGAAAATAAATAAATTTCAAGTTTTGCAAATAGTGCATTTTGTAATGCATTTTCATTTTCAAGTTTTCCTTCTTGATCCATAATATTTTTTAAGCTTTAAATTTAATAATTAGAGAAAAAATATATTTTAAGGCTATTATAAAGATTTCAAGTGTTGAAGCCACATTTCTCGACATTATTTGAACGTACACTTTTACCAAACCACATCGACTTTAGAATAGGGGAATTTAAACGTACTACCATCGTTTAGAAGTTGAGTCTTTATTCTTCCCTTAAATTCTGACTCAAGGTCTTTTTGTAATGAGTACCAATATTTTTGTAAAAAGATTATATACTTTGAAGCTGTCTACTTTGAGGCAAGGAGGTCACAATCATTCTTAACTATTGAACGTAAAATCCGACAAATTAGATTGTGTCATAACATTCAAAAAATTTTATTTTGAATTCGAATCCAATTATGGCACATCCTCCACCACCTAATTTCACATCTAACAGGCAATAATGATTGTGATATCTTTGTAATGAAAGTAAATGGTCTTATTGTATTCATTTTCTTTTGTAAATAAATCAACTTGAAATTTCAAATCCTTGATTCATGAGTAGAAAAAGAAAACTGCATCAATTTTAAAGTTCAAGTTATGAACAAGCTCACTTGCCTTTTAAAGTAAAGTAGCGGCTCAAAATTTTCAACCTGTTCGTTTACGAAAGAGTTTTGGAAACTAACGCTCTATTTGTTAAAAGAAACATCCATGTTTTGAACTTGGAGTTCCAATCTAGAGTTATTTTGAAATAAAAAATAAAAAAATACGATTTGAGGGACAACTTTATATGCACTAAGGGACACTAGCTAATAATTCTTTAAATTTGTAAATGAGCATTTAATAAATAAATAAAGCTCCAAAATACTTTAATCCGTCTGTCCAAAGATGATTCTTTTCCAAAATTAGAATGGCTTTTTAGCGTAATATAAAGTGTGTTCTCAAATTTTTACTTATGGCTTGTTGGAACATGATAGAAGCACTCCATTACATTTATTTTTATTATGAGTTATTTTGTGGTGCAATGCAACTTTGTTATTGTTAGTCCTAAGCATAAGCACAGACGGAAAAAAAAGAGGGTTGTGTTAGATTGGCAACCAAAATATAACTTTTCTTATATCATTCTCATGAATCCTAATCCAACATTGTAGTCTAACTAAAGGTTTGACGGTTGATAAAGCATAGCAGTATAATAATATTTGTGTAGCTGACCTCAAGTAGTTGGAAAGGGTCGGATGATAATGATGATCCTTTATGGGAAGTGAAGCATTCTCATTTGAAAACCATGGGAACATTGGAAGCCTTTGTTAACCAAGGTTAGTTATTTTGAAAAGATCAAATGCTTCCATAGGTAATTTTAGGACCCCAATCCCTCATAAGTAGTAATTTTGAAACCCTAGGATGTAACATATTTGAATATATATGACCAACTTGAAGGAAAGAGAAAACTCGAATGTGTACCTTGGATCAGTGTCTAAAAATATTACGCCCCTAGGCTAGTAGTATTGCATAATTTAGGCACTTGGGTTACTTGGGGTCTTTTTTATTGTTTATTTTTTGTAAGAAAAGTGATCCTGATCATTCTAAAGTAGATCAAAAAATTCCAAAGTTTCAGTAAAAAAAGTTCTCTCAAGTAGGAGACTTCCTTATTAGAGGGAATAGATATTTTGCCACAGGAGCATAGTATAAGTGTTGTTGTAGTCAAGTGGTTAGCAAGTTTTTTTTTATAATACTTCTTGTGCATTATGCTATCCTTCGAAATTGGCCATGGTCATAGGAAAGGGCTTCAGTTAAACCCATCATATCATGAAGCATATATCATCATCAGTGTCGTTTTTCAACTATTTCGGATTAGCTACATGAATCTCGGTCGGCCATTCTGCTCTAACAAGGGTCATATCCTTAATAAAACTATAAGTCCCCATATGTTTTCTCACTACTTCGAATCTACTCTTTGATATTTTTTAGCCTTCCACTGGAACCAACTCGCATCTCCTAACAAATACTATGTGGATTTGTACTTCACATGACCGACCCACTTAAGTCTATTGTCTCTCATCTTATCACCTATTAGGGTTAATTGACTGTCTTCCCATCCATAAAGCTAAACAAATGAGTATGTTGCGGGGTGAAAAGCTTTTGGTGAGTCTGTTGATTCATGTGTCAGCTCTAGTTTTTAATCTATGTTCCCAAAATTGCAAATTGACACTTCATGACTTTTGACCCACTGTGTCACTCCATTTTTTAGGGAGAACTGTTTCTACGTGGCCCCAACAATATATAGGTTATATGGGACCGAATTTTTAGTCATTCTATCTAAAATCGAGCAGCTGCGATTGTCCATACCCCAATGTCAAGCCAAATATTGTTTTATTTTCATTTTTTTTGACAAAATATTTTTGGATGAAATTTTGGACATCCCATCATAAAATTAGGGCGAACCTAGGAAAAAAAAAATCTGTAAAATTAAAAGACCAAAATTCCCCTGCAAATTTTAGTGGTATTCTAATAATTGGTCATCATTAAAAATATTTTATTATTATTTTTATCATGTGCGTCCTTGTCACATCTATGCATGCTCCATTTTTTGCTTTAAAATGATTTATAGAATAAAAATAAAAAATAAAAAACTTTGAACTATCCGATTAAGATTTAACGGTTAAAAGCCTAGTTGTGATATTGTGACTCAAACTATCTTAGCCATCTACTTAGATGTGATGGCTGAGACTAGGGGTCACATATACTCTACATGTGGGTGGGATTATATAGAAAGCCTTGCTAAAACTGATTATTATTGTTTTATTGCCAAATTGCAGCAAGTGATTTGTTAACTATGTTTATATTAGCCAAAAGATTTCATGCTCCTATAGAAGCATATTGTCAATTTACTCCCTAGGGTAAAATCCATCTAAGAGTATGTTTAGGGTCTCAAAGTTTGCTGATGTAACCGCTTCAACTCCTAGCCTAATCTCAATCATAAAAATTTCCAAATTGTACTCTCTATTTTGAAATGTGAGATCAAAGTGTTAGATACCTCAAAATCCAATGTTTTTATTTTTAAAATAGTTATCTAGTGATTCTTAGTTGGTTCCCAAAATTTAATTATGTAAGATGTTCTCCCAAGTTGGTCTTTTTACCTGAAGGAGTACAATATAATCTCCCATGAACACAGTATACCTGCTCATATTATTACTACATATTCACATACTTCTAGTCCCTCGCCCATATGACTTATTTGGGATGATTTTTTTAATATTGGGAACCGCTTAGGAATCTCTTTATGATTATTCTCAAAAGAAAAAAAAAAATTTGAGTTTTTTAATACTTAGATCTCACCCCTCTAAAAATTAGATGATTTCTATTAAATCTTAAGATATTATCTTTTTTCAAATTAGATGGTTTCTATTAAATCTTAAGACAATATTTTTTTTCAAGTGCTTAGAGGGCGCAATTGCAAAAAAGAATTTATTGAGGTTAATCTATGTGCTATCCCCAAAATTAGGGGGCCTAAAATTAATCTCAGGTGGGGTTTACCCAAGGGAGTAAAGGAGCAGTATACTCCTTTGGGAGTGGACTATCTTTTGGCTTAACCAATTGTCTTGGAAGGGATAATAATTTGTACGAGCAAATGTATATTTATTCTTCTTTGTGTCTAGATTTCTCTCTCTCCATGTGTATCATTTGCATGACCAAAACATCTCTCTCTATACGATTCTCTCTCCATGTATCATTTTTATGACCAAAAGCACTTATTTTTCTCTATTTATGTGTATCCTTTCTATGACCAAAAGCCTCCATCTCTCTCTCTCAATTGAGTTATTACATTTCTCTGAAGTCCTATGCATTAATTCATGCAGATGGCCTACTTCAAATTAAATAGGAATCCATCTTGGCCACTTAGTGTTTCAGTTTCATGTCATTACGAGCCTGGTTGGATACCCAGAAATAGGCCACTGGAGACCTATTTCCATGAACATCGGGCATTTCCTCAATTTGGATGTCATTTGGGGATGGAATATAAATCTCTGCGTGGATATCTATCTCCACGTTCTAAGGCCCAAAAGTGTGTATTCTACCAAAATATTCAACAAATCACCATCATCATTATCATTATTATTATTTTTATTATTTTTATTATT